GCGGAAAGGAGGCTCTCGAAACTGGCACACGAATCTCTTGCGAATCTCGGACCTGTTCGCTGATAAGCCGGTCAGCGTGGAGAGAAGACACGGTTCCGCGATACGGGCGTACCGTGAAGTGTGTACGCGCCGGGACGCGCCGCGATCTTCTCTCCTTTTGGTTTCTTTAATTCCACGACGGTGCCGTTATGTTAATCTTACGTTACGGCCTAACTGTACCGGGGCTTGTATATTCGCGTGCCTGGTGGGCGCACCTTCACGCGCGAGCGACGCGGAACAACGCCGGGATAACGAGTCATCGATCGGCTATTACGAAATCGCGATGCCGAAATTCGGCACACGACAAATTGTTTGGATTCTTCCTTCGTCCCCTTTTTCTTTTCCCCGGATCCCTTGGTCCTCGCGACCGCACGATCGCGGTTGGACGCACTGGGATTCGGGGTTTTGCGAAATTGAAAAATTTACTTTTTTTGTGCTTTCTTATCCACGGGCTTCCACGGGATTTAATGTTGATCCTTTTCCAGCGCAAAGTAGAATAAGGTGATCAAATTCGGATCAGATACCAAATGCGGATCAACAATTTGATGAGCTGATAAGCGACTCGCCAAATTTTTGGTCCGCATTTGGCCACCTCACTCTATGCGTATGGAATGTTTTCGGGTAACAGCTAATTACAAAGTCAGTAATGTTCACTTCAGTTTAAGTCTTAGAAGCGCAAATAGAAAGTCACTTTTTATTTTATTTTAAAGAGAAATTTTATTTTTGTTCATTCTTTAGTCTTTACATTTACTGTTGAATATTGAACAATTTAAAAAGTAACAATGAATTCAAGTCAAATATTTCGTAAGAAAAATTGACCGCAACTTGGCCCAGGGATCGGTAGGCGGAGGAAAATTTGTGAAACTTGGGACATTCTTCAGGTTTCCGCGGAAACGTAGAATGCGTCACGAGTGCGAAGGCACGAGCTGTGACGGTAATCTTTTGCGAAGGATCAAAGAAGTTTGTCGTCCGGATTAGCGAGCGAACTTTCTACAATTGCGGTAATTTCGCATCACGAATCGTTTCGTCGCGTTAGATTTAATCGCGAATGTGTCACTGTACTCGTATCAAAGATAATTCTCTCTTTAACGCAATAATTGTGCGAGAATCTACGAAAACGATTGAAAAAAAAAAACAATTGCTTGAACAAAAACGTTTACTTCGAGTTGAGTGAAAAATAAGATTTTATTCGCACGCTTAATAAGTATCGTTAGAGGCTAATGATAATTGATATTAATTACAAATGAAACGAATGTTTGCGGATAATAGCCGTATCCCTTGCGAGGTTTGTCTCGGGGGAGGGAGGGAATTAGATTAGATTGAAATTTTATATAATTACACGGAAGCCAACATACGAATTATACGCTAATTAATGAAGAAAGTGAGATGGTTGCGTGTACCACGCTCCACCCGCAGTACGAGGAAGTATCACGTGGCCAGTTTGCCTTATCACTTTTCGTGATTCTCGCCATTACCGGTGCCGAACGTCAGGCAATAATTTAGCAAATGATCTCGTCCGAGCGCTAACTCATAGCGCTAACTCACGGGTTAAGATCGGAGCGATCGGGGAAGGGACGGGTGCGTTCGAGCGCCGTGGACCGGCGATAATCGCCCGTCAGTTTGTTGCCGTTGCTCTCGAAGTGCGGTTCTCGCTGGAGAGAAGGCTCCTTCCTTCCCCCCCGCTCGAATTCCCCCGATAATCCGCGAGTGCGCGCGCGATAACGAGTGACGTGTTACGTGGGAAATACATTATCGTGTGAATTCCTCGTAAGATAAAGAAACGACGGCGATTGTCGTTTGGCGAACAGTGTTGGACGCCTGAGATTAATCGCGAATTCTGCGGTCGTCGTCGTCGTCGTCGTCGCCGCCGCGATAAAGCGTCTTTCTCCGCGGGTATCTCTGCTCGTTTGTGAATATATCTTAACGATTCATTCGTGTTACTGATTATTATTGTATTATTATAAGACGTACAATGGACCGGTTGCTCCAACATCTTGGAACCTTTCATTTTCTGGTTAATTGTTAACCAGAAGTTAGTCGATACTCTATCTCTTCTTAGATAATAATGCAAAACAAGATGGTGAGCCGACTAACCTCTGGCTATCAGTTAACCAGAAAACTGGGCCTTGGTAAGGGCTAGTTTCACAAACATCGATTAACTGCTAACCGAAGGTTAATTGATTCTCTGTCTCTTCTTAAATAATAAGATGGAAAAGGATAGGGAGGCGACTGAACCCTAGTCAGCAGTTAACCGATGTTTGTGAAACTGGTCCTAAGTTAACTAATAGTTAAATCATACGTATGTCTTTGTTTTTCCTTCAAATTAGACAAAGATTAGCATATCATTTAACCAGGTAGCTTACCAAGGGATTGGAAAAACTGGCCCTATGGTTTTTATACGTCATTAACGTGCCCGGTTTAATTTTTTTCGGTAGAACGAGGAGGACTTCTCCGAACCCCCCGGGACTCTTCTCTCTCTCGAGGTTCATCAATCTAACGTTGGCAGTTTCATCTGTCACGACAATCGGTTATCGAGCGGCCGCTCTGCCCACGTTAATTCTGCTCGGCCGAGCGACGTATCAGCTGCGTGCGTGCACGCGCGGCACGCATCCGTTTTCCCTGTGCGTCGCTGAAACGCGCGTTCGATCGTTCCGTCTCACCGCGAGCGGCTGAATTATACCGCCGTTCGCTAATGCGAATGCATGGCTGCGGCGCTGCGCGATCGTAGTCCACTGTGCGGAAACGTCGGCCGGTGTTTCCCCCGAGAGGGAAGAGCGCGCGAGAGCGAACGACAGCTCGCCCAGGCTGGAAAAGCCTGGTCCCCGTTCTCGTCTCGTCGTCCTCGAGGCGTCGTAAAAGAAGCTGCGAAAAAAAAACGCGTGATTAAGTGTCGCGTGGGGTCCGCCTAAAAATAAAGGTCCGTCAGCGGCCGTTCGAATCGCGGCTCGGACTCGCGACCTCGTGCGCGTGTCCGATGTGAGTCACTCGCTGGAGTATTAATCGTCCTCGAAGTGTCATCGCGAGCACGTCGCAATGATTACGGACTGGGTAAGTTCTTGCACCGACGTTAAATCCGAAAATATCGGCGCTTCTCGTACGTCGCTCTCGAATTCAGAGTCAAGGATGTTTACACGGAGAGAATTTTTTTCTTAAAATTTATCCTGAAAATCATGTGGGACAACATGGCATTTTGAAGAACTTTATGAGTTTGCTAGTACAATTACTAGTGAAATGTATGGTAAAGTTTAAAAAAACTCTCATAAAACTCTTCGAAATGCCGCGTTGTTCCACGATCACATAATTTTCAGGGTAAATTAAAAATAATTAAATAGCTGCTTAGTGGCGCCAGCCAAGAAATCAAGAATTTGAATAAGTGTGGAAACGACCTTACTGGCAATTCTTTATTATAATATAATAAGTCATAAATTTTAAAAGAAAATTCTCTCCGTGTACGTACAAAGCGTTCTACGTTTACCAAACAAACTCGAAACGACAATCGAACCTTGGATACATTTCACCTGCTGCATCAAAGGAAAAGGAGAGAAAGAAGTAATTAAAATTGATGAGGGAAATCTCTCTCTTGACACATTAATACCCGTCATCATCTCTCGCCTGGCGTTCAAAGTTTTTGCGCAATAGTCATAATAGCTATTAGTCAGCAATTAATTGTGTGAAGGCGCTCTGTCATTCTCGATATTGCGTGCTAGTTTTCCATTGTATAAATGAAAAATCACTCGTGCACCCGCGCGATCGACGTCATCGTTAAATGTCATCGTAATCGCGCCGTTACTTGCGAGGAGGCTCGCCGATGATAAAAATAAACGGACTTTTTGCGACATTGCGCCGCGAATTGTACCGCCGAAATCCCACGTGCGACTTTATCATTACCTCAACAATAAAAGTTTCCCGTGCGCGACGCGAGGAATGTTGACGCTTACCGCTAATCATCTAACGGCGGCCGTTGTTCAGTCGTGTTATTATTTCTTCTTAATTCGTGCCTCGCGACTTCGGACGGCTCCCAGTTTTACATTTGTAATTTTGCGCTCGCGTGTTTAACCGCGTCGCATTCGGGTCGCCGGGGAGTCTACAATGACGGTAATTAATTTTCGCACGTGCGTGCCACTTCGTGTCACGTCCCGCTCGTAGCCCGCGGGTCACGATTTCGGGGGACGAGCGGATTAGCCTTCGTGGTCGAATCGAACGGCGGCGAAGAGGAGACGTGGCAGACCTTTCGCGGCCGCTTCTTCCGCAACGCGCCGTCACGCGTATCAAATGTGTTGCGTATCGCGTAAGCGCGTGTCCAGTTATCTCGCGGTAAGCGGACGGAATAAATCGCCTCCGGCTCCGGAGCGCGATTTCGCGTCATCTCGACAAAAATCCGACGTGCTTGCGAGGCACGAGTCGCGCCGCTCGGACGGTCGTACCGTCGCGAAGCGCAAACTCGTTCGTGTTTTACCGCAAAGGAAAATATTTACAGTCGGTCTCGGGTATCGCGGAATGCAGTTTTATCGGGGCGGCCCGATCGAATTTGCGAGTTCGAGGCCGGACTACTCGGATTCGTGTCAACGTCGCCGAGAGCGACTCTCGCGGAGAGCCTGATGGGCTCCCGCGCAGATTCCTCCAGTCGCCGCGACTCTCCCCGTGTATTCCGCATACGATATTCATTCCCACAGATAAAAATTGTGGATCTTCAATGAGCGCCCCGAAGTTTCTACGTTCCATAAACCTTGTTTCGTATCGAAGTTTTCATCTTATTATCCGGACGCGGGATGTCTGTTACTGTGTGAAGAGATCCGAACATATCGCTCATGCAATGCTCTAGAAAATCAGTATAATGATAGTGAGAGCGACAGTCTTCCCCGGGGACGGCTTTTCCTCTTGCCAAGTTAAAAGCGGCGAGCTGCTGCCTAATTTCTAAATGTATTAGTGAACTGAAGCGTGCGTTGCAATGATTGTTGCAGTTGGACACATGGTTCGGCCGGCCGAAAAAATCCGTGCGCGGCGGCGGGCCGCGCGGCTACTCGGGCAGCAACACCATGCCCAGGCCGCACTCCGGCGACGATATCAACGAGCTCGAGCAACAGCGTTCCATCATCGAGAGGATGGACGAGGAGACGGTGAACGATAGATTCGAGGAGATGCTGGTGCGTAATGCGTCGCAACACATGGTTTACATTTTCCTATAATTCGTATTTTTTTGCTTTTCTTCTCGTTGACATGTGCAGAGTCGATTCTTCGTCTCTTCGCTGTATACATTTTGTGTCGGTAGGAGGCATAAATATATTGAGCAATTGTTGAATAATATGAGGCGTACAGTTTTAGACAAAGTTATTACACGGAGAGAATTGTCTCTTAAAATTTATCCCAAAAATCGTGTAATCGCGGCATTTCAAAGAGTTTTATGAGTTTTTCCGAAATTTTACCATACATTTTACTTGTACTTATACTTAGTATACATTTTGCTAGTAAAATTTCAAAGAACTCTCTGAAAGTTGTTCAAAATGCCTCGTTGTTCCACGATTGCATAATTTTCAGGGGAAATTTTAAGAGAAAAAATTCTCTCCGTGTAGGCAACCTTATAATTTTGTCTAAGGCTGCATGTATCTTGGAAGAGGAGATTTATAGTTGTTATCTTTCTGCATAGGCCAACATGAATTTAACCGAGGAGAAGAAGGAACCGTTGCGTCAGCAGTCGGAGTCGAAGAAGAAGGAGATGCTGGTGTTGCACTACAAGGGCAGCATTCAGGACAACCGATCGAAATTCGACAAACCGGCGGATTACATACAGTACCTGGCGCAGCCCGATTTGAGCGTCAACAAGATCTACAACTGCATCGAGTCCCTCAGGATCGCGCTCACTAATAATCCTCTCAGCTGGGTACAGGAGTTCGGCACCAAGGGTCTCAAGCAGGTTCTGGCCACTCTCAATGAGTGTTACCGAAAGTAAGTGGACTCTAACGCGCTTAAATGTAGCGCTCCATAACGCTTAGGTTGATCCTCGAATACACAATTTATTCTAACATTGATATTGTTCTATTCCAGTGCCTTCATATATTACGATAGGTAATTGATGTAAAAGTACTATTCGCTTGAATGTCATTTTGCGATATTTATTATGTTGGATATTTTTTAACCGCTTACATTTTAATATGAACGAAATTTTGTTGGTAACGAGATAAATGGTTTAATTTTATAAGATTTTATTTCCATGTACGGCGAAGGAGTTTAATTTGAGAGAGTACTTTATTTGCGCCGCTCAATTAGCAAGACGTTCTTCATTATTTTTACTTAATTATTACTTCGGTTTTGCATGATGCTTATGGCAGAACTTATTACGCGACTCATATTGCTTGTGACAGAATTTATTGCGAGATCCATGTTCTTTATTAACGGAAAATTTGTTTTCTCTTAGTGACAACCGTTACGAGCGGATACAGTACGAATGTATACGCTGTTTAAAGGCCATCATGAACAATACCGTTGGCATAAAGGAGATGCTGGCCCATCACGAAGCCCTTACTATCGTGGCCAGATCATTGGAGCCGACGAAACCGTCCGTAATGTCCGAGGCAGTAAAGTTACTCGGCGCTGTGTGCCTCATATCCAGCGATAGTCACAAAAAGGTTTTGGACGCGGTTACTATGAACGGCGAGTTCAAAGGTCGCGAAAGATTTCTACCGATCGTACAGGGTTTGATGAATAAGAAGAATGAAAATCTAAGGGTATGTTGTGTCCTTATTCCATCATCTATTCTTCTCCAATTTGCGCAATTTGAATGATTGCATAAATAATGTTTTGCTTTTCTGCAACAATATTATTTTTTCTATTTGCACAGTTTAAATTTGTTGCATCGTTAAGCAATATTTGTATAAATTACCGTAAATCAAGCAAAAGCTTAGATTTGTTTACTGATGTATGTATATGCCTTAACGATTCATTACCTGACTTTTTATAATACAAAGTCTAAACATTTTGGTATAAAAAGATATCTGTCTTTACATTATTTTTATGCTGCAGGTGGTGTGTCTTCAACTTATAAACTCGATAATATCATCCGCGGAAGACCTTGATTTTCGCTTACATCTCAGAAACGAGGTAATGCGAGTAGGTCTGGCCGACATTCTCGAGATGTTAGAGAAAGATGAGTCGGAGGATTTGGCAACACATTTGAAGATCTTCAATGATCACAAGGAGGAGGATTACGAGGAATTTGTACAGAGATTTGACAACGTACGTTTAGAATTAGACGATGTTAATGATTGCTTTGAAGTAGTCAAAAACATGGTAATGGATACTTCCGCCGAGCCCTACTTTCTATCTATACTTCAACATCTTTTATTTATTCGAGATGATGCTCTGGTTCGGTAAGTGTATATCATCGCATTAATTTTTACCATCGCGATTTTGTTAATGAAAAATGTGTAAATTCGTTTATACCCATAATGACCAGAATTCTTCTCTCTTACTTATTATTTTCTTATTGTTCGTTTTTTTAGACCGGCGTATTATAAATTGATCGAGGAGTGTATATCGCAAATTGTGTTGCACCGTTCAGGCTGTGATCCGGATTTCAGCGCGACAAAGCGCTTCCAGATTGACGTACAACCGTTGATCGACACACTAGTCGAAAAGTCGCGGGCTGAGGAAGAGCGCCGATTGGTGGAGGTGATGCAAAAGTTAGAAGAAGCTATAGCTAGTAGGCAAGAAGCCGAAGCGAAGCTTCAGCACGCGGAAAACAAAATTAAAGAACTGGAGCAAGGAACGGGGAAACCTGGTGGTCCCGTAAGTATACATATTTTATATACAATGCGTCTACACCAATTGAATCTTTTTTTAAAGATGACGGCCAAAATTATATTATCTTAAAGTTTTCTGAGCATAACTTTCGTCAAAGTGCATCGAATGTGCTTAAAATCATTCAGGAGACATCTAATAACAGGTGCATCTTGTGTGTACATGAAGGGTGATGACATTTGACAAAATACATCATGATTTTCGAATTTTGCATTCATGCACTTTAAAACTAGTTACGCTCAAAAAAATCGAAAGGTGATGTAATTTTGGCCGGTACTGTATATGCACTCTCTTAAATTAAATAATCTTAAAACCATCGTTTTAATTATTATATTTGAATATATAGAGGAGTAATGTGTGTCCACCTCCACCACCTATGCCTGGAATGGGCGGCGGACCACCGCCGCCGCCGCCTCCGCCTCTTCCTGGCGGTGGCCCACCTCCACCACCGATGCCTGGAATGGCAGGTCCACCTCCGCCGCCTATGCCCGGCTCAAAAGGACCTCCACCTCCACCAATGCCCGGCATGGGAGGAGGACCTCCTCCACCACCTATGCCAGGGATGGGTCCTCCACCGCCACCGATGATGGGGGTGTTATCTCCACCGCCTCCGGCGATACAAGTTTTGCCTCATGGGATGAAACCGAAAAAGAAGTGGGAAGTAGACGGTCCACTGAAAAGAGCGAATTGGAAAGCGGTATGTGTAATCTATTTATAATTGGTCAAAGTGTTGTCGACAGAAAATGTAATATTAATTTCGACATTAATCAACTGTTTTATTTCTTGGATAACATATTTTTTGCTATGTAAAATTTTACGACGTTTCAGATTTTACCTCACAAATTGACAGAAAAGTCATTCTGGACAAAAGTACAAGAAGATAGATTAGCCAGCCCGGAAATATTGGATGGTCTCGCGCAAAAGTTTGCGTCGAAACCGAGCGGGAAAAGAATGGACGATGTAGTTGATAAGTAAATTTCATCTCGATAATAACCATGTTTGTGTCATGCGCATACAAGATATTAATTAATTTTTCGTATACGTAGATCCGCCCCAACGAAAAAAGTGAAAGATCTCAAAGTTTTGGACAGCAAAGCGGCTCAAAATATATCGATACTTCTCGGTGGGACGTTGAAACATATGCCTTATGTAGAAGTGAAAAGATGTTTATTTAGATGCGAGGGACCAGTTATTGATGATAATATATTACAAGGGTTAAATCAATATTTACCACCGCCAGACCAATTGTCGAAGTTACAGATGTACAAGGACCAGTACGATGATTTGACTGAAGCGGAGCAGTTCTGTGTTACGGTAATCTTACTTGATTTGTTTTCTATAATTTCTACATTCTTATTTCACATTATGAATATAAAATTTACAAACATCACTGTCACAGATATCTACGATAAAAAGATTAATACCCAGATTGAGATCATTAAGCTTTATGCTGCGATACGAGGAGTTGGTACAAGATATAAAACCTGACATAGTAGCGTCTACAGCGGCATGCGAGGAAGTGAAGAGGAGCAAAAAGTTCGCGCGGATTCTCGAATTAATATTGTTAGTTGGAAACTATATGAATTCCGGTTCGAGAAATGGCCAAGCGTTCGGATTCGAGATTAGTTTTCTTACAAAGGTTCGTTTTGTAGCATATTACATGTGACGCGAATTACTTATTTTCTCCACGTTTCACGAGTTATATTACTTTTTAGCTGACCAGTACTAAAGACGTCGATAACAAACAAACGCTTATGCATTACTTAGTGGATATAATAGAGAGAAAGTTTCCGGAATGTGTCAGCTTCGTGGAGGAACTAGCGCACGTAGACCGCGCCAGTCGAGTGTCTTTAGAGAATGTTCAGAGAACGTTACGTCAAATGGAGACCAATATCCGTAATCTCGAGCAGGATCTCACGAATGCCAAAGTTCCGCAGTGCGATGAAGACTTATTTATAGACGTCATGAAAGTATCCTTTACTAATTCTTGGTTAATAACGATTGGTGACATTGTCTGAATTCCATGTTGATTGGACAAAGGTATTTCCTTAACGAAGTTACTTTACAGCCGTTTGCCAAGAAAGCTAGGGAATCTTACGAGGTTCTACAGAATATGTTCAAAAACATGGACGGTTTGTATACAGACATCTCAGAATTCTTCTCCTTCGACAAGCAGAAATACACTATAGAGGAATTCTTCGGCGATATCAAAAAGTTCAAAGACGATTTCTTGGTAAATAAGCGCTAATTCGGACTACGTTACGCCGCAATCTATCCAATCGCTATCTAATGCGATTCTGTATTCTCACTGTAGCAATCGCAGAGGGAGATAATAAAGCTGAAGGAGGGCGAGGAGAAACAGAGACGGGCGAGGGAAGCACGCGAGAAAGCTGAAGTGGAAAAGGCAGCGCGAGCCGCGCGTAAACGCGCGTTAGTCGATATGAATGCGCACGAGACGCAGGAAGGTGTCATGGACAGTCTGATGGAAGCGCTACAGACTGGATCGGCTTTCAGTCGACCGGACCAACGGCGCAAGCGACCAACCCGCGTAGCTGGTGGTAAGTTGTATAGGACGTGCATCGGGAGGCAAATGATGAAGAAGGACCCAGCACCTCAAGCATTTAGTAATGGTTTAGACAAATGTACTAGGCTAATGAAACACGAATATGAAAATTTAACTCCAACGGAAATTGTGCGACGCGATATCTTGCGTCCGAGTAGGATTGTGGAATTACGTGCGGCGGATCGGGCAACGAGCTTCTTTACGCCGGAAGAGAATCAGGAGACGTACAAGCGAATGTTGATAGACGAAGCCAAAAAGACGCCTAGGCAGACAAAGTATTCATCTAGAGTCACGTTCTTTCAAAAAAAGAAACTGTGCAGTCGTTGCAATAACGCGTATTACACGGCGATGCCGGTGTTCGACGAGACGCCGAAGAGAGACATTTTGTTAAAAACATTCAGAAACCTGGAGTCTAGATGCGTTAAGACTGCATCGAACTTGAGCCCGTTAGTCAGTGGAAACGTCTCTATTAATCGAGCGCATATACTTAGTCCAGTCAAGCAAAGGCGCGTTATAATCAGCAAGATACGTAAAAGAAATAGCATTGTACGCCGCACCATATCAAATCGCAAACGTATACGTGCAAGCAATACAGTCGCCAAGCGCCGTAAACTGCAAAGTTCATCCAGTATGAGTATCACCATGCCGCTGCTCGCGAATACGCCAAACGTGAATTCTGTAAATGAACATATGTCAAAATCGATCGACGGTCTTCATACCGAAGTAGTCAAACCGGCGTTCACTCCGACAAAACTCTTAAGATCGAAAAATTATGAAAATCTGACACGATACGACGAGAATCAAAATATACGGTATTTGAGAAATTCAGGTTTTTTAAACTCAAGCATATCCACTCAGTTTTCGAGTAGCGAACAGATAACTAAAGCGCAATCATCATTAGTGGCAGAGATAAGTGGAGTTACGTTATTGTCGGAAAATAGCCCGTTGCATTTAATAAAGTCAAAGTCTCGTGTTGCAAGAAAAGGTTCAAATGTGTCAGGGGAAACTTCTGGACTCGCAAACGCATACAAGCAATTCGTTCCGGAAAGTAATTTAGACATTAATCACAAATTCAGAAAACCAAAGGATAAAGCGTGGAAAAAGAAATGGCGGTTTTGGCAAACACCGGTAAAGACTATCTAATTGAATTATATGCTTTAGTATTCACACAAGACTGAAAATGGAAAGAAAAAAAAATCTTTTTATGTCTATTGTTATGAAAGAACTTGTTCTATAAAGTGTTTAAATGCGTTCTTTAGAAGACGTCTGATTTTTCGATTAAATAAGCGACGTTCTCGTCTTAAAAGCATGTCGTGCACGTAGGGGTAATATTTTCGTGATATAATTGCGCGTAATTATTTATTTAGAATTGTAAGATTTATTTTATACTGTGTCATGTTAATTAGTGATCTTTCACGTCTTTCTATTTTGAGATTTATTTATTACGAGACTAGCAAGACTCGAGTATAGTTTCGATGCGATGTACACAATACATAAGTAAAACTTTCCTATGGATCTGTAATTACATTTACGTGTCGTACGAACTCTCAAGACTGATAATTGTGATATTTGTGATACTACGAGAGCTCTGAAAGTTTGCAACATTTCATATAGCGTGTAAATATTTTCACATGCCATTTTATTTAATTAGTGTGACAAATTTTTTAAGCAAACGGGAATGAATATTTGTAATATTTAGTTTTGAGTTTTACGTATTTGACGCCCGAAAATATATTCTATTGATTACTGCAGAAATTACGAGAACGCAAAAGCAGAGATAAAGTCAAGATGCTCTTCTGTCATGTCGATCCGATTACTTATGTATTTAGACTGCAAGGTTCAAGGAGATGTAGATGAATATGTAATTTTATAATTTTTTCTAATACTGATGATTGTAATGTGATATTAAAGTTAATTTTTTTACCTTTTTTTCTCTAATATATTGCTTCGTAAAAATTGAAATTATTAGTATGATTATTTATGTATTTTCGTAAAAATTAAAATTATTAGTATGATTATTTATGTTTTTTTTTTTGCTTCCGATTGTAAGTGTAACACGAAGCAATCAAGTTTTTGATAAAACATGTACCATAGACTGTTTTGTATAAAAACGCACGTCTTCACATTGATTTCCTCAATATGTTCAATGTTATAAATTGTGCCATTTTAAGAATCGTACTCTTGGAGTGTCGGTGTATGAATAATGTATAAAATAATGCTCCGTGTTGCCGTTTCGTGCGGTAATTATCGAGAAAACGAACGTCCAACTTAAAAAGCGCGCAACTTCCTCCGAGATGCGTTCCACCGGTACAGCGCAAATCTCTCTCGAGCAGTGTAGAGCATATTGTAACGAGTTCAATTCTGTTTTAATTTTACAGCGGAAAGGAGGGCGCAACTGAATAGAAGTCGATCGCGTACCGGATTAGTCGGAACTGGCTTACTAGGGAGGGAACTTTCGACGTAAGTATTACCATATTAATCGCAAAAGGAATGCGTCAACGAGACACGCTCGAACGGAACGCCCGATCTCTTACCTGCGTATTACACGCACGTAATGGGAATATGTAACATTTCGCTCGACGTTTCCGGAAATAACGATCGCGCTGCCAATTTAACTTGAGTTTTGCTTGCTTTGCGAACGATTTGCTCGCTTACCGGAAAGTACATAACAATCGTATAGTAACATCTAATTTCAATTTCACTAGTTACATCCATACGTCTCTTACATGCGCGAATGAATCGTTTTTCGCACGTTCGCGAAAAATAAATAACGGTCTGCGGTAATTTTAATAATAGTAGAGATAATAACGACAAAGTTAAATAGTTCCTTTCTGAAAGTGTTAAGTGCTGTAACTGACTGCGCACTTCCTGTCTGATTGCTAGCCTTTGTTGATACTAGGCTCCTTGAACGCGTGTACACCTGTCGCCTCACCTTAACCCATTGTTGTTGCAGAGAGCTTTTAAGTTCGGCTTAACCTACCGGGATACATCCTACTTCCGTCCTAAACTCAATGCTGTGATGATTTTACATGCCGCCCATGAGGGGCATGTAACATGCATCATATTGGAACAATAGTGAGCGGCGAGAACATCCTGCGATACGGTAAACCAATATCCAAGGGGGAGAGGGAGGAGGCCGAAGAAGAACGAGATTCCATGGTCCTCCGGCCTAGATCGAATTTTGCGAATTCGATCTGAGTAACAGTCTTCCTTACGTAGTAAAGTGTTTGATTTGTAGGTATTTTGTACTTGTACAAATATTAGTTAACGGGTTTGCATAGCGGAACGATACTTGCGCTTGAGATACTCGGTAGGATGAGAGCGCGAGAACTTTATTCCGCGTGGACGATATTGCGCGACAGGGAATTCGTCGCCAGCGAACGCATTTGTAAATACGTAAGAGGTAGGTGCTGGTGGCGAATTGGCAACTCGTCGACGCGGTTCGGCGCACTCTCTCATCGCACTGTAAGCATTTTTACTGCCGCCTCTGTGAATCGGACGGCGGACTTCGCATTTATTTATGTACGTGGCTGTAAATATATTTCACCTCCGAGAATCGTAGGTGCGCACATAGATGCTGCAAATTGCGAAATTATTTCGACATTACGAGATACGTATTTGTAAAAATATTATAGTTATATTTCGGTTGCTGCGAGCGATAATGCGCCTTTTCGATGTTTTTAGCGAGAATGTCTCGTACGCGCAGACATTGGTGTACAACGCGACAGGGGTATTCGTAATTATTGCTTATTTCGACATTACGAAATGGAGAGACGGTAATAGTAAAGAATTTATCGTAATTATTCCCTCGCCGGCCCGACGAAACGACCGCAAAGCGTGCATAACTTGACGTTTACATCACCCGTTGCTCATTTAATTCTCAATAAGGATATTTACAGTGTCCGTTCGAAACACTTTGCTGTATAGAGAGAGATTTGTACACCAAATTGACGCATAATTCTGCGGCATATTTTTAATAATGGCTTTACCTGTATCTTTTTTTTAAGAAGGCACTTGTACACTGAGAAAAAAACGTATATAAAATTATTTCTTGATTTTAACTAAATGCAGCGGTCACAGGCTGTTAAGCAGATATTTGTCAATTAAAAATAATATATACATAAATATTATATAAATTACGTATGTTTAACTTAAAAAGATATTTAAAGTGAAGAAATACTGCCATTTAAACATAGTCATATCAACTTTTTTCTCAGTGTTTTTACATTTTATAACGGAAGTATGTCACCTTGCAATTAATCTAGGAGCAAAAAGGACTGATAATACTCTTAAGGGAAGCGGCTTATTCGACGCAACGTTCGCGTTTTTTGTGATAATTAACGAACCCGATAACAAGCTCGCAACATTCGAGTCGATACTTTCAACAGCGGTGAAAGAAACTCAGGGAAAGAGAGAGAGGGAAATCTCCGAAAACGGATACGTGGCGACGTGGGCACTACGAATCCAACTTCTTGCAATGTTAAACTGGCAATAGTAGATAATCCGTGATTTTTACACACTACGTTATTTTGGTATCGCGTTCATACAAATTAATAACGATCGTCGTCAACGGGTCAGAATCGCGTGTAAAATTACCGAATGTGAAAATATGCGAGTCGTAAGATATCAACGGGAGATCGCCGATAATTTTATGTGTGAACGTCGGATTTGCGGTGTTGAAGACCATCGTTTTCTGGGATTCGGGTGCCCCGAGCAGGCCGATCCAAGTGTTTTGACGTTACGCGCGAGAGTCGTGTAAATAATAATAATCTCGGACGCGTGAGGGACACGACAGGAAAATCTCTCGCTGTCGCGGGATTCAAGTTAGCCAACAGGTAGCGGCGCGGCGGTGGGGCGGCTATGCCAGGCACGCTCGAAATGTCTAGCGAAAGGCGACGTAACGAGCCGGTTCTCTCGGGGCCGCGCAAAAATCGCGGAAGTATCTCCGCGCGAGAATACCGGCCGCGTTCCCCGCGCCGGCCGATTTTCGGACCGCGCGCGTTCTCTGCGCGGGCAGCGCGGGGCGTTCCCCTATCGCGTCGGCGACGAAACGCGGCCCGTTACGTGGCCACCTTAGGCGCATATTTTATGCACGTTCTAGCACGCGCTTCGGTACCGAGCGATTTTCCACGGAGTGAGACGGAGAAAATATTAGTCGTATGTATATTTCCCCGAGGTGCTCGCACGTGTCTGTAGAAAAAAAAGCCACGGCGGAAATGTAAATCGCGTTGCCTATCGATCCGAATCTTTTAACGAACGAATGATTCATTAATATTAATAATATTAATATTCTAGAGTTAGATACACGTAAGTACCTAAGTTAAGGACTAATTGTATCTATATTGTGAATACATGCGGATCTAAATGATATCTGTGCATCTGTTACTATTGCCTGTTGCGTGTTCTAGCTCTTTCTCAATATTCACGAGATATTTATGGAGACTCAACGTATCCTAAGCGAGAGCAGAAATCCTGTGCATTATCGTCCTACACCTTGCGCTCCTAAGACGCTCCTTTAACTAAATGCCACTCGCAGCGAGATATTTCCATTTATTTCCCAGGAATAAAAAGAGGTACCTTTTACTTTTTTTTCCTTTAATGACGTTTAATCAAAACATGTTTGAGGTATATCCAGTCGAAACAGGTGTGAGCAGTTGTGTCTGACTTGCATAAAATACGCGTGAAACGCGACCGATTACGATCTGCGAGGATACGCGTACAGAACGCGAACGGGCGAGAAATCGAATCTGTTTATTTCATTGTTGAATTCCTACGCGATCCTCGGTTCTTGCGGACGCGGTCAAAGTCCACCCCGGCGCATCGAACGTGTCGACGCCGTGGGTATCGAGAGAAATCGAGGTGGCCGTCGGTCGCGAGTCACCGCGACACGCAGTCACGCGTAGATCACACGTGATATCGATCGGTCGCGTTCAAGAGAGACATGCCTTTATCGCTTGCACGACAGAGGTTCTCTCGTTTCGCGATTTTTCTCCGCGAGGACGAGGACGCGATCTAGTTTCCCTTCTCCACTTGCAAAATCACTCGCCGTGATTTGCAAAATGATCGCGCGTCGCCGGAGAGCATGCAAAATCTCCAAAATGAAATTCCATAATTGTTTAATTGGCAGACAGAATAATAGTATCAAACACAACTGGCTACAATATTAAAAGAACGTATCGCGAAAAATATTACCTTAGTCAGAATTTGGACCTGGACTGAGAGCGGTCCAGGTTTAAATCCTGGCTAGTTAAAACTGGCTAATCAAATTAGCCAGTTGCGTCGAATAATATTTGTTTGTTATTTAATTACTCGCGACAAAAAAGATTATTCGTTATTTAATTTGAATCTATGAAATAACATCAATAAGATGGTAGTGACTTTGGATTTTCAAGCTGAAACTTTCCCTACACTGAGAAAAATGTCCGATTAAATATAATCGGATAATCCACTTACATAATAACAAACGGATATATCCGATGAAAAATGTGATCGGTTTTTCAATCAAATTTCATCGGTAATTGCATTTCATCGGATAAATTTCATCGGATGTATCCATAATTTAATCGGAAAAATTAACCACAGGAAACACTTTAATTGGTTTATCCGATGAAAATTTTTCTCAGTGTATTTTCTATCTGATGAAATCTTTATTTAAATGTAGAAAATGTAATGATTTAAATTAATTTACTTAATATAATGCACGGATTTACTTAAAATTTAATACTTTTATTTAAATGGAATAAATATTAGTTCAGCAAAAAAATAATTTTAAGTAAATCTATTAGTTTAAAAAACTTTTATTGTCAGTGTAGGGTTCGCGCGATACGAAATCACACACACAACGGCAAATAACGCGATGATAATGGTGCGCGATAATGGTTCCATGCGTAGCACCCATCGTCCAGACGCAACGGGCGTAATAATTACGTAGATAATTCTGTTTCGCCGGGAATAATTAATGAAAATTTAATTTCTTATTCGCCACGACGGCGAAGCAAAGCAAGATGGAGCCGCAGTCCGATCCGATCTTCGAACGACGGAGGTGAGCCTCGGGCATTATTAACGCGTAATGATCTCCGGATCGTTTCCGAACAATAATCATGAATTAGCCTGATGCCGGCCGTCTCGCGTCGTTTCTCCGCCGTCGTAACGACGTTACGCAAACTCACGCGGGACCACGTTCGGCAATGACCGGTCACGTGGCCCGTGGGGCTACAACACACGCGTCTAACTTCTCTCGAAGGCGCCTGTGCCCTTTCACTAAAAATTCGAGATCTCGTTGGTCTCTTTTGAGGGATATGTAGGTTTTTCACGCCGTGGAACCCTAGTAGCAGAAAGTACTGGCGCAACATTGGGAAATTATGTAAATGCAATATTATAGATTGGGTACGAATTGGTCCCCAACATTGGTCCAACATTGTAAGGTGGACGCCTTCTCTCATGTAAATATTGGCCACGGCACTTCCAATATAAATTGTCAATTTGTCGGAGCAGCAATATTGACTCAATAATAATGATCCCAATTTTTATATTTAGCAGTTATACGTATAATTTATATTTTAGCATTTCACTTTTTATTCAATTGCCGTGTGTAAGTGTAAATTTCATGATAAGGGCATACATATTCAGAGTAGATATCTGCGGGATGCGAAACGAAGAAGATTGGTTTTTGGCTCGTGTCGCTACGTCAATTTTTCGCCGAGTTATAGCGTTTTAAAAATCCGGCGCGCGCGCGCACGTTCATGAAAGAAAGCCGCGCGAAAGTTTTACGCGAGTAGTACGCGAACGTACTATCATCCCCAAAAAACTGGCATAAAAATATATGAGGCACAGGTGTTCGGTAGTAAACATTGCCGCGCGAGACGCCGCGCCAGACGCCGCATATACGCGCCGTCTGCTATTTCTGAATGAAGATTACGCGCGCGATGGCGAGTCGATATATTCGTCAATATCTTCGCACAGAAAAATCGTAGCGAGATGATCTTGGTCTCGTTGGAAAGCTAAGATTCCAACGCTTCCAACGAGATATGAATCGCTTATCTCGGATTATTAGCTTATGAGACATCATCGATTATTTCCGAAAATTACATTGATTTTCTTCAGAGATCGAGATTGTGAATTAATCTTTCGATTGGAATCGGCGGGGGTGGTGAAGGGCCTCTACAAAGTTAGTTTATTTTCATCGGGCAACATTTTACCCTTTTTTAAAAAATAACTGTTACCAGCGTGAATATCGTTAATATCGAATAGTTGAGGCCTTTTTTTTCCGCAATGCCGATCGGTTTTCTTGAAGCGCGGTGTGCTTCTCTTTTAGATTCATAGTAAATGACGATTTGCAGTTTAGAAATATACATTTGTACACTGAGAAAAATTCCCATCGGATAAACCAATTAAATAGTGTTTCCGATGGATAATTTTTCCGATTATTTTTTCCGATTAAATTATGGATACATCCGATGAAATTTATCCGATAAAATGCATGCGATGAATTTTGATTGAAAAACCGATCATATTTTTCATCGGTTATACAATTTAATCGGATATATCCGTTTGTTATTATGTAATTGGATTATCCGATTATATTTAATCGGACATTTTTCTCAGTGTATACACCAACTATTGAGGTAAAATCTCTAATCTTAGAAATTAGAATTTAAGTAACAACGACTTTTGTTCCGATACATTTTCTCGAGCGAACAGAATTAATCGTTAATTTAATTAATATCAATTAGTCCGCAGAATGATACAGAAAACGTAGTAACAGTCACGGAACAAAGTAATCTAAAATATTAAGTACAGAATTTTCAATTTCGTAGGCAGGACAACGAATTCTCAACGTTCGTAGTTGTTTTTCTCTCGGCGCGGTGACGTACAATGTTTTTGCATGCCATTGTGTACCCGAAGGTCGCTGCGTTATTAGTCGCTCGCCGAACGTCGAGCCGGCAAGCAGTGACGCGAGTCGCTCCGTGCGTGTTAATATTTTTGAGTTATCGGTTTCCAAGACTTGATCGCGTTGAATGAAGGGATAAAACGCTATTGATTTGTACACATTTATCAGTATTTTACATCGTGTACGGGAGTGTCCGAAATTTCGCGCGATCGATGATTTTCGCGAGTGTTGTGTGAGTGCAACAAAGAAATCTGAAAGGAGGAGGAGGCCAAGGAGGCATCGGGCAACGGCGGAGAAATCGTGAGGTGAATGTCTTAAATTTTATGTTATTTGCCACTTGTGCAAAATAAAGCATCTGTTCTGTGTTTTTATTTTATTTATTCAAATGATTCGAACGAGAAATCGAATAAGTGTTAGAGACAAAACCATACGTATAAAATTTTGTGAGTTTAAAAGGAAGACCGTTACAGTATTCTATATAATTACTATAAATAAATACCTATTTTAAAAAATATAAAATATGAAGTATATTTAATACAATAATTTTGATTTTACATACTTAGTCTCTAATAATCATATACATATTTGTATTTTTACAATTTAACATATATAGTCAGCGATGTACAACTCTGCTGTTGCAAGTCGTATCAGTGAGTGATAAATTACTTTTTATTTTAAATTAACGTTGCGGATACAATTACTTCTTTTCATGTATACAAATTTTTAAAAATACACAATGCTCAACCGCAAACTGCCCGCGCGAAGCGCGCGTTTTGTATTTTCTAGTAGAATTAAAACATTCTATTGTGTCGATTCTTTCGGCGCGGCACAGTTGAACGAAGAGGATCTGCCACGTGTTTTCGCGTCGCTTCTCGCAACGCAATCATTTCCTACAATGAGAAAAAGTTTTATCGGATAAACCAATTAAATAGTATGTCCGATAATTAATTTTTCCGATTACGTTTTCCGATTAAATTATGGATATATCCGATGAAATTTATTTGATGAAATGCAATTACCGATAAAATTTGATTGAAAAACCGATCACATTTTTCATCGGATATACAATTTAATCGGATATATCCGTTTGTTATCATGTAATTGGATTATCCGATTATATTTAATGGGACATTTTTCTCAGTGTAGTTACTTTCGATATACCCGCGAGGGCTAATACCTTTTTAACGATTGAACTCAGATGAATCTCTCTCACGTCATGCTTTAAATAGCAAACCTAAGTTATGTGTTGTGTTCACTCGATATTAATTTTTTTCAATGTACACATAATTGCACAACTTTTTGTTGATAATCCCCTCCTCGGGTACTACCTTGTCGTGGTGGAGGGGCTTAAGTACCCCGAAGAGTTATTCTCTAAAAATTAATCAGTGCATTATCACTGAATCAGTAAATATTTACTGTTATCAGTTATAATCCATTGATTAATTTTAGAGGGTACATACTCTAAAGACGGGACAACC